AACTACCCTGTGATCCAGCAATTGCACTACAAGGTATTTACCCAAAGGATCTAGACAGTATTATGCTAAGCAAAATGAGTCAGAGAAAGACAAGTACTGTATGATTTCACTCGTGGAATTTAAGAAACAAAACAAGCGAGCATAGGGTAAAAAAGAGAGAGGCAAACCAAGAAACAGATTCTGAACTACAGAGAACTAATGGTTACGAGAGGGGAGGTGGGTGGGGGATGGATGAAATAGGTGATGGGGACTAAGGAATGAAGTTGTGATGAGCACTGGGTGTTGTATGGAAGGTCGAATCACTAAATTGTACACCTGAAACTAATATTACACTGGGTGTTAACTGAAATTAAAAACTTAAAAAAATAAAAAATGTGGGGTGCCTGGGTGGCTCAGTCATTAACTGTCTGCCTTCAGCTCGGGTCATGATCCCAGGGTCCTGGGATCGAGCCCTTGCATAGGACTCCCTGCTCCGCAGGAAGCTTGCTTCTCCCTCTCCCACTCCCCCTGCTTGTGTTTCCTCTCTCGCTGTGTCTCCCTCTATCAAATAAATAAATAAAATCTTAAAAAAAAAAAAATTTAAAAATGAGGTAAATTAGAACTATACACACAAGTTTGAGATGTTCACAATATATGTTGAGAAAAAGTTGCAAAATACATACCATGTAATTCTACTTTTGTTAAAAAGCAAACAGAAAAACATCCCAGTTATGTACACATATACTTGCATAAAACTAAAAACATACATGTTAAAGTTTACTGGGTGGTTGGGAAGGGTTAGAGATTTACTTTCTCGTTTGTATTTAAAATATTTTAAATCAAAGTTAACATAAGCTCAGAGTAAGATATACAAAACCACTTCATATGGTACAAAGAATATTTAAATAAAATGTAAAAGACTCCCCTCACCTCCCCAACTGCTATCACCATGAAAAGTCCTCCTCCTACCCAACTATAGCTACTATTAATCTCTGGAGTTTGGCATTTCCTATGTATAAAAATGTTTATTTTTAATAACCCAAAGTAGGTGATTTCTACCTGTGTGCACGGAAGAGGACTTCTCAAATGTATAAATAATGTATTCCCATATTTCCAGATTATTCATACACTGGTAAAGAAAGAGGGAAAAAGGAAGACAGAACACCAGAGAACTGAATACTAAGTCTGATCATACAGAATTTTGATAAAATACACCTAACAAAAATCTCTTGAAATACTTTCGCTTAAAAAAAAAATCAGTTTTCCGTATTGTAAAATATGTTCAGAAAAATTCAAACCATTACAGACTATGTATTAAAAGCATGCCCTCCATAATTCTACCCACAAGAAATATGCAGTTTGTAGTTTACAGTCTTCCACATTGCTTTCCTCCATATACTAATCTATTTTGTGTTGGTATGCATTTTAATGAATTTTTCAAACAAAGTAAGATTTTTTACATGTTCTTAAAATAACTTAAAACCATATTAAAACATTTTAAAACAGTTCTTAGAAACTAGTCAAAAACAGATGAATTTATTGATATTAGAGCAAAGATGCTTCTAAGCCAGATAATTTGTTCCTTTGTTATATCCTCATTAACCTAATATGTATATACCATCCTTATGCTAATGGATAATGGAAGGACACTGAGGTTCTGGGGGTAAAAAAGGCCTGAAACTGAATCAGTTTCATTGCTTTAAGTTCTTGGCCAAAACAGGTAAGTTTGCTTTAGGCTTATGAAAAAAGCTAGTACTACCAAACTCACAGAATTGATGTAATATGTATGACAATAGAAGCACAATGCCTGTCACATAGCAATCACTATTATCAACAAAAGCAGCATGTTTTAGCCGATCACATGCTTTAGTCTAATATTGAATGAAGGTCCTTGGCTACAGTTTTCTTTTCCCAGGTATGAAACTAATCACTTTGATATAATTATGCCTGGGATGGAAATTCCAATCCCCACATCTATGCTTAATTGAACAATACAAACTTATCCAAAAATGTGCATACTCAGTTATTCTAAGAATTTATTTGAAAAAATTATAAGGGTCAAAAAAAATTATAAAGGTTAAACATTTAGTTACAAAGACAGTTATTGCAGTATGGCTTATAAAAAAATATAAACCATCTCACTGTCCAAAAAGGGATGGATTAAAGAAAAGATTATACAAACACTGAAACTAATGGTATAAAGAAGTATGTATTACATAGAGGTTACCAAACAGACTATAAAGTGTAATCTATCCTTGAAAAACACAGAGAAAACCATCTGGAAGTTTTATTTCTGGGTGGAGGAATTAAATTTTTACTTTCACTTTTTAATGTGCCTACATCTCTACAGTGAACATGTACTATTTGTGTGACAATTGTTTTAAATAAGAAAATGTTCTGAAATTAATTTTTTCCTCTTCAGCTTATGCATGTTAATTTCCTTCTCCCTCTTCAATTTATCCATGAGAGAAGAGCAGCTAGTACAAGCCCTCCAACTTTACAGAAGGGAAATCTGAAGATTAAGTTAAATTACTTGTTCTTGGTCCCTTAACCGTGGGGCCAAAACTTAAGCAATTATCTTTTCCATTAAACTGTCTTTGGTTTATACACCGGACCTTCCCATGTATACATAATCAAGTATGTTAAAGAATGAAATAAATGTTAAAAAGCATAAATGCCAAAACCAACTAAATGGAACATTTCCTTCCTCTTTCCACAAGGTCCTTTTGCAATGTATTTGTAAACACCTATGTCTTACTACCTTAGTGTCAGTGACTTGGAACAGGGAAAAAAAGTTTTTGAAAACTAGTTTATCTATATCATTAAATACTGTGGTGTATTAGAAAATTTATAGGTTCTCTAATAGTTACGCTTTTTGCAAGATACGTATTTAATAAACAAAGGTCCAGGGATCTAGAAAAGCTAGGTTTTCACTCAATAATTTAAGCTCCACAGAGTAAATATAGTGTTAAGAACAGACTACAGTCAAGTATCAGTTCAGTAACAATAAAAGATCCTGAGGTAAGTAACAGTACACAGCCATGAAAAGAAGGGCAGAGTTGCTGATGCAAGCTAAGAATACTTCCACCTTAGCAATTTTCTAGTTTGGATTAGGTTCCTTAAATCTAGGTATTAGTGACTCTTACCCACTGATCAGAAATACCATATTAAATCTCAGCCATGTAGAATTAGCCAATGTGCCTAAGAACAGTAGCAAAGAGACTTATAGAACATGAAAATAAGCAGCCTAATTTTTAAAGAACTCTCTGTAAGTCCGGCCAGGTTCTTTAAAGAGTCATGGCACTACTAAGACTTCTGAGCCGGAAATGCAGTATCTGTCTTACAGTTCTGGTTTCTGATCTTTTAGGATAAGGCTTTAAGGATTAGAGGAAGGTCCATCCTATATCCCTCACTTTTTCTCCATGGGCTAAGTCCCTGAAGCCAGAGACTGCCCCCATTAACCTCTACTCTGCTGAAAGAGGACAATGGAATTACTGGTTCTTTTCTGGCAGCCCATATCTGTTGTGGCTTAAAACAAGATCTTGCAGACATAAAGTCATAAAACAGTTCACAATTACTGCTTCAGCCTCTCATTGTGCATAAAGGCTGGAAAAAGCCGTAAAAGGAAGCAAAACTTGTAACAGTACTATGAAGATTAACTGATTTATGGTCATATTTGAGAATTTAAACATGCAGAACTTCAACAGAATATAATGTATATATCTAGAAAAATGTGGTATAAAACCTTCCAGAATATTCTTTGAAAGAAACCAAAGCACAGACTGCTTCAAGTAAGCGACTCTTCAACATCTCGACATATTTTTAAATTATTCATAAAATCATAGTAATTTTATCATTTAAAGGCTTAGCTTAACACTGATCTTAAAATTAGTCTCATATTTATATAATTATATTTTGGGTCATCTTAAAGCATCAAATCAAGATGTTTAGTTACTTTTCCACAGAAAGTAAGACAGGAACAGTTGGTTTGTTCACAAAATTACCAGTAACAGGAGCTGACAATAAAAGCCTAGTTTTTCATAGACCTGTCTTAATTATTGTCTAATTATTCTTTGCCAACAAACTTCGCAGACCAGAGAAACAATGGAACGTGTGGAAACATGTTTCCGTGACATAATGCCGCTCCTAAGTCTTTCATTAAGTGTTCATAAAGGAATCATTCCACAATCCTGTTTATACAGGACAGCCGCCTCTGATTCTTCTATTCATTCTGTAGACATTCGCTTTTGATAGGTTCTGGCTGCACCGCTTTCCATTAATGGACATACATTACCAATACAATACAGGAGGCCAACAACTCCCATCCCCGATTCCCTCCCCATTAATGCATCATTAATATACGCCACTAGAAACCAGTCCGATTACCTCGAATTTTCAAGGGCACTGGGGTAAATCCTCGAATACCTCAACAACTTACCAAAAAAAAAAAAAAAAGGCTTTCTGGGCCAGATGAACCTGCAACTCATCTTCTCATGTGTGCAGTCTAAGCTTTCATCTCTTACTTTTCTGAAAAGCCGTCACTCAGAGAGAGATGGGGGAAAGAAGGAAGGGCAGAATGAAGAATTCTTTACTCAGCTTATGGGAGATACCAGCCCGCGGCCGATAATCCCACGCAAGCCCTGCTAGAGGTAACCAGACATCTTTTCAGAGATTTGTTCGGGATATCGAGGTGGTTCTGCACCACCCCCCGAAAACTAAAGCAGGCCCGCTGGGGAACAGAGGCCGGGGTGGTGATGTGGGCGTGAGTGGGTACAGAAAGGAGATGAGCCAACTATTAAGAGTTAAGTCCCTCGTCCCTTAAGGAAAAGCAGCTTTGCAGCGCGACGAAGTCCGACTCCCACCTGGGCCCGCCAACCAGCGGTCTCCAGAGATTGCAGTTGATGGACTGCACCTGTCATCACAAGGTTCGGCGCGCAGAAGACACCAGCCGGCAGGACCAACGCAGGGTCGGGAGAAAACGTTTGTTAGGGTCGGGGTTATGATCAAGCCAAGGCACTTACGGGGTACACCTGTCGCTGTACTCATTGGCGATGGTCTCGATGCCGCCACTCCTTGCTACAGCGATGTAGCAGTTGAGGAAGCCGAGGTCAATGCCAACCACAGACATCCCGCTGCCCAATGGTCGGGGTGCTGGTGCTGAAGCCTTCTGTGCGGGAACCGCGTCCTTTTTTGAGCTGTTGCTCGAGTAATTGGGGCTCCTACGAGAAGCAAAGGAAAGATGACCCGAAGTCGCTACGCATTAAATCTAGGGCAGCGCGTCCGGGACAGAGAAGGAGACGGAGGCCTCCCGCACCGCTGGCTCCGCCGCCTCGGTCTCTCGCCACTGCGGTTCGACCGCCTCCAACCGGCAGTTACAGAGGTCTGCGCCTGCGCGCTCGGCCGCCGGGGAGGTGCGCGAGCTGCCGCTCTGCGCCCGAGGCTGCTCCACGCCTCGACTTCGGCTGCTTCCGTCAGTACTCGGGCAACGGCTGCCCGAGAAGCTGAGGGTTCGAGAAAGATCTGGAAAATGGAGGCGGCTGAGCCAGCTGAGGGTGGGAGGGAGAAGGCGGAGCGGGGAGGATCAGGGAGGAGAAGACGCAAAGCGAAGGTAGTTTGCCCGCCATCGCGCGGCAGCTGGGAGAACTGCGACTGGGTTAGGTGAGAGGCAGCCGGCCGGCCCCGGGCTTGGCCAACGTGTTTTGAAGCATCCCTTTTGGGTTGTTTGTGGCAACCAGAGGCACGCCTATCACAGCGGCTGGATACCGCCGAGGCTTGCCCGAAGTGGGACGCGCAGGCCGGCAAGCGCTGGCCTGCACCGCCTCCTCATTCTTTCCCGACTTAGCGCCACCCGCAGCCAGAGTACCCACCCGCCGGCCTCGCCGCCCCGAGGGGCCCATGTGCCGCCAGCGGGCGCGCTCGCAGTCTGACCGCGCGGTCCTGCCGCCCGCCCGCCGCGCCGGGCTCTGTGAGGTGGCGCCCATTGTGCCGCATGGCGGCAGCCTCGCCTGCCAGCAGGGGCGCCGCCGCTCCCGGGGAAAGGAGTCCTTGTCATTTCGCTCGCGGCAATGTCTTGTGTGAAAGCCAACGAAACAAATTTTAGGGTTTTGTTTTTCCTTACCAGGGCCTGAAATGCCAAAAAACAAACAAGGAAACAAGAGCACACTGATAACTTTCCCTTCACGTAACTTCCTTTACACCGTTATAAAGATGCAGTCTCCTCCACTAACCCTTACCTCTGAAAGCCAGTTTTACAGAAAACTGATCTTAAGTCTTTCTGTCACTATGACACCAGGCAAGCCAGTGCATTGCTTCCAGACTCGGCCCTTTGATCCGCAGAAAAGGAGCCTAGTGTGGTCCAGATGTCTGCCTTCGTTTGATCGGCATCTGTTGTCTAGCTGAAATGGAAGCAAATTATAATTTACACTTACAAAATTTGGCTGTCTTGTTTCTCCTCGTTCACTTCTTCGTGGGTTTCCTGTTCCTTCTCTCCCAATTCTTCTTGTGTTTCCTGTTCCTTCTCACCCAATTGTTTGTGTGTTTCCTGTTTCCTATTTGTTTCCGTCTTGAAATAGATTTTTTTACTCCTCTCATTGTCCTTACTTGTTCTCTTCTTAAGAGAACTTAGACTTTTTACTACTATCAATGCTGCAACAGCTGCAGCAGCAAGTGTGACTACAGCCCCTGCTGCTGTTGCTAGGAGTAACATGAAATCCATTTTCAAGGGTAATGCTAAGGAAACTGGAAGGTATGGTGTTGTTTTGACTCCAGCATTTCTATATTAAAGAATCCCATCTCTCTCCCATGTCACGAGCACACAGGAAGCCGGGTAGCTCCTGGCTGACGCTGTGGTTCTCTTGGATGTGGCTAGCCTGGGTGGAGGGGCCTCCCAGCAGGCAGGGATTGGGTACTGCCGCCCCCAGCAGAACCCTGGGCCCCCAATCCTACTGGGCGTCTCATGGCCTCCAGCTTTCCTCCTCAGGTGCCTCTTTAGCCATCATCCTTTTGAGATGGTGGCAGCATCTAGATTTTTTCCAGAATTATCCTGAAACTCTCCTAGGACCATTTATTTATCCATGCTTTCTGCCTAAAATTTGAAGGTGTGAGAATGATTCTTCCATTGAAGAACACAAAATATTAGAGTAAAAAGAAACAGTTGAGGTCAGGAGCAAGGGGTTACCACCACATTCTTTGCATAATTACGGGGAGGAAATCATAGAATCTAGTGGCTAAAAGCTTTGGGGTCACATAGACTTGGGTTGTAGTCCCGGGCTCACTTAACTTACAGCAGTAGGACCTTCGCCAAATTACTTAATTCACCAAGTCCCAGGTTCAAAATCTGTTAAAATGACAGATATACCTACTATGCTCTTTTTATGAATAAATAATCTAAGTGTAACAACAGTGTCTTGCAGGCACTGAAAAGGCCGGAAAATGCCTGTTGCTAGAATATAGGAATTATATTGATTTATTCGCATTGATCCATGTATACAGCAACTGTGCTGTACTCTCATAAATTCTAGTATTTGTAGAGTTTCTTGAATTTTCTGTGTATAGAACAATATGGTCTGAGAAATAGCTAATTTTTTCTTCATTTTTAATCCTTCTACTTCTTGCTTTTTGTTGCCTAAACTCTCTGATGTTGAATATGAGCAGTAATGATGAGCATCTTTGTCTTGTGCCTATCGTTAAATACTTCTGTGTTTATAATGTAAGAAACTAAAATTATCCTCCTTTCCTAGCTTGCTAAATTTTTCTCGTAAGTGGACATTGAAACTTAACAAATGTTATCTATCTATTGGTATGACCGTTTTCTTCTCCCTTAATCTATTAATGAGGTGAATATAATAGATTTTTCTAATATCCTTGTGTCCCTGGGATAAGCCAGTGAGGCCATGACATTCTGATTATTTTTAGTTATATTGGATTTGGCTTGTGATTATTTTATTTAGAATGTTTGCATTTATATGTAAGATTAAATTTTCCTTTCTTTACTCATCTTGTTGATATCAGGATTATACTAGCCTCATAGAAGGTGAGAGGTTTCCTCTCTTTTTTCTTTTCTCTGACAAAGTTTTGGTAAAATAAGCCTGTAAACATCTTGACCTGGAATTTAGGAGATTGATGACCACTGGTTAAGTTTCGTTAGTGGTTATATTCTATGTTTTCTATTATTTCTTGAATCAATATTGATGTATATTTTTATTGACAATTTACCATTTCATCTAAGTTTTCACATGTGTCGGCATCAAGTTGATTATTCACTTGTGAGTTTTGAAACTCTCTTCCGTAGTTACATATCCACTTTTTCATTCTTAATATTGTTTATTTCAATCTTTTTTTTCTTGGTTATTATTACTGCTTTGTTAGAAGAACCAGCTTTTGGTTTTCTTGCCTTCTTTATTATGTCTTTGTTTTCTATTTCATCTGCTCTTTAATATTTCCTTCTATATTTTTATGTTTACTTTGTTATTTTCCTAATCTCCTGAGTTTAACACTTAGATCATTAGTTTTCAGTCTTTCTTGTTTTCTAATATGTATATTTTAGCTACAAATTTCCTTCTAGAAACCATTTTAGCTGAATCTCTAGCTCAATTTTTGAACAACTGAGAAGAGTAGGCAATGGAGATAAAAATATCAGCATTATTACTGATAAAACTGGTATTATAGAAATGCATGTGTCTTATAGGCTTGTAATTATTGCAACACAGAATTAAGCAGACTTATCTAGTCATAATAAAACACCTAGTTCCACATTGAGGCCTGTCCCTGTAAAAATCCAAAAAAAGAATGGATCAGAATGTGTGTAGGCTCCCAAGATAAGTGAGAACAAGGCTAAATTATTCCCAAATTCACCAAGTTAAGTGACTTTCCCCACCAAAAAGTCTTTTAGCCAGTGCTTATTTAGGTTTACCAATTTGTTGCTTATTGCATCCCACTCCTTCCTTCTGGGTTCAGTTTTCTTTCAGTAATTTTTTTTTTTTAAGATTTTACTTATTTGAGGGCGCCTGGGTGGCTCAGTTGGTTAAGCGACTGCCTTCGGCTCGGGTCATGATCCCGGAGTCCTGAGATTGAGTCCCACATCGGGCTCCCGGCTCAGCGGGGAGCCTGCTTCTCCCTCTGACCCTTTCCCCTCTCATGCTGTTTCTCTCTCTCAAATAAATAAATAAAATCTTTAAAAAAAAAAAGATTTTACTTATTTGAGAGAGAGAGTGAGAGAGAGCACAGGGAGAGGGAGAAGCAGGCTCCCCGCTGAGCAGGGTGCCTGATGCGGGGTTTGATCCCGGGACTCTGGGATCATGACCCAAGCTGAAGGCAGACCCCCAACCAGTTGATCCACCCAGGCGCCCCTCAGTAATTCTTTAAATAAAGGTCTCTGAATGGTGAACTGGTTTTTTGTTCTTTGAAAAATTTTTTCTTACCTTAATTTTTGAATAATTTAGCTGTGTGTAGAATTCTTGATAGTAACCTTCCCTTATCTTTGGGCATCCATTACTATATACTGTTCCTTTAAAAGTCATGTTTGTCTTTTTTTTTCCTTTGATATTGGTAGCTTAATTATGATGTGTCTAGGTGTGGATTTCTAAAAATTTATTCAGAGACTTTTGTTAACCTGAGGATGAATGGTTTTGGGTTTTTTGTTTGTTTGTTTTTTTTGTGTGTGTGTTCTTTTGGTTCTGGAGAAGTCTCAGACATTCCCTTGATTATTGCTTCTCACCCCTTCTTTCCAGTTTCTTTTGGATCTCCTATTAGAATGTGTAGATCTCTTTATTCTAACCTCTATGACTCTTAGCCTCTTTTTGTCATGTTTTTAATCTCAAGCACTCTACCAATTTTATTTTATTTTTTAAAGATTTTATTTATTCATCTGACAGAGAGAGACACAGTGAGAGAGGGAACACAAGCAGGGGGAGTAGAGGAGGGAGAAGCAGGCCTCCCACAGAGCAGGGAGCCCAATGCAGGGCTCGATTCCAGGACCCTGGGATCATGACCTGAGCCGAAGGTAGACGCTTAACGACTGAGCCACCCAGGCGCCCCAGCATTGTCTGTTCTTTCATACTGTACTATTTTCATTATTTCTCCTTTAAAAAATCTATTAATCATTTTAAACGTTCTAATTTTGTAGTCGATCTTTTAGAGTATTTTATCATATTTTTAGTTCTTGAGGGCTAATTCTAATTGTTTTATCTACCAACTCTGCCACAACGTACTTTCTTACTTCCTCATAAAATGTAAATATTTTGACCATAAATTCATCTTCACTAAGGCTACTTTTACTGTGGGATCTTTGTGTACCCTGGGTCATAGAAGTGTCCCAGAGATGTTTTATATTTGTCAGAACCCTGAGGAGTCTCACTGGTCCTAGAACAGTTTTAATTTTTCAGTTTGGAGTTCACATACCATTCATATAGTGTTTACATATATATACAGTTGACCCTTGAACAAAATGGATTTGAACTGCACAGGTCCATTTATATCTGGATTTTTTTTTTGGTTAACTACAGTACAGTACTATAAATGTACTCTTCCTTATGATTTTCTCAGTAAGATTTTTTTTCTCTAGCTTTATTGTAAGAATACAGCATATAACATGAAAAATATGTGTTGTTTATGTTATTGGTAAGGATTCTAGTCAACAGTAGGCTATTAAGTTTTTTGGGAAATCAAAAATTATACATGGATTTTCAACTATGCAGGGGGTTGCCACCACTAGCTCCCATGTTTGTTCAGGGGTGAACTGTACTTTGTTCTGGCACAAGCCTAGGTGTTTGATTTCTCAGAGATGACTTTTTTCCTACTCACTGCTTTGAGATGGTTGTCAATCCTCTTGTCTATATGGTTTGGTGACTCTTTTCCTAGTCTCTCTTCTTAAAAATAGGACTCTCTCACTCATATGTGGAATTTAAGAAACAAAACAGATGAACATAGGGGGGAAAAACAGAGAGGCAAACCATAAAAAAGACTCTTTAAATATAGAGAACAAACTGAGGATTGCTGGAGGGGAGGTGGGCAGGTGGATGGGTTAAATGGGTGATGGGTATTAAGGAGGGCACTTGTGATAAGAAGTGGGTGTTATATATGTGATGAATCTCTAAATTCTCTTGAAACTAATATTACATGATATTTTAACTAACTAGAATTTAAAAATTGAAAAAAGAAAGCATATGGGAATAGCCATATGCTTAACTCTTCAAAAAAAAAAAAAAAAAAGAAAGAAAAGAAAAGAAAAACACTCCTTCCAAGCTTTCAGTACACATGACGTGTTCAGTTTTAGTCCCCTTACCTTACTAGGGCCCAAGCTCATAATTCCTATCTACATGAGGGTGTTGAAAGCACCCTTAAGGTCTGTATATGTTTCTGAATCTTCTGAGATGCTCTACATTATTAGCTCCCAGCAACATTCCTAGCCTTGAGTATCTTTGTTGCGGACATCTGGTATTTCCCTTTTTATTAAAAAAAACAAAAAACAAAAAACAACAAACCCTTTTGGATATATGTTATCCAATATGTTCATTATGTTTGTGGGACAGGGTATCTGTGTAAATTCTATCTGCCATATTGCCAGATATTTAGCTCATATACTTGCAATAAATATTTGATCCAGAATCTCTACTTC